AAAAAAAAAAGAAACATAAAAAGACTGCTTAAGGCAAAAATAATAATAATACACTGTGGGATTTATAATGTATGGAATTAGAAGGGGCAACAGTAACATGAAGGATGGGAAGGAGGAGATGGAAGTCAATGGCTGTAGGATTCTTACACTATTACACTTCACATGAAGCGTGGTAACATTCAGTGTAATTTGAACGCCAGTTCCTATAAATTAAAAAAAATGTGGAAATAGGCCACATTTGCCAAAGCCTTGTGGATTATTTTTGGTTTATAAACATTATAATCCAGGAAGATATTTCTGTAGAGTAGAAGAGACAACAAAGGTTTTCTAATCGACCTACAACATGCATGCCATGAGATAAATGTGTTGGTTTTTCTGCTTGAGGATGGAAGGTAAAGCTAACTGTCTCTCGCCATCACTGCTGCCACAGAAACACGGAAGCCCTAATGACACAGCGTCAGGGTTGGTCATACAGACACTGAAGAGCTGGGGAGACAGACCCACAGGTGTACTGGGGCCATTGCTTGCCAGTAGTAACACTTTGCACCAGTGCAGGCACTTGAACCCAAGCTAGAGAGCCCAACAAGACCTCTCTGAGAGGTTCGTTGAGAGGATGGAATGAAATAATGCTTCTGAAGGACTTACAACAGTCCTTGGCTCGGGGTAAACACTAATAAACGACTCTTCTTGTTAGCAACATGGTACTTAAGGAAAAAACAAACACTAAAAATATTTCAAAGTCGGGGCGCCTGGGTGGCTCAGCGGGTTAAGCCGCTGCCTTCGGCTCAGGTCATGATCTCAGGGTTCTGGGATCGAGTCCCGCATGGGGCTCTCTGCTCAGCAGGAAGCCTGCTTCCCTCTCTCTCTCTCTGCCTGCCTCTGTCTACCGTGATCTCTCTCTGTCAAATAAATAAATAAAATCTTTAAAAAAAAAAAAATTTCAAAGTGTTTTTTTCCTCAGGAGGCATACCATATTCTAATTTCAAAGAACACTAAAACGAAGGTACCACCCTTGCACGAAATTAGTTCTGTCAACACAATGGTAAGTGTCAAGCCATGTATCCATGTTTTTTTATGGATAAAAAATAGTCTAAAATTCTCCTGTGTCTAAGCCCTTAGAAGGCACAGGCAGGGATGTTAGGTATAAAAAAAAGTCAGTTCTCTGATGCTGGGAGCACCAGAAGATGGGGGAATCCCAGGCTCTGAGGAGTGAACATCCTTTTCCTTCTTTCCCCAAAATCTTTAAGATTTTTTTTATTTATTTGACACAGAGCAAGAGAGAGATCACAAGTAGGCAGAGCAGCAGGCTCCCTGCTCAGCAGAGAGCCCGATGTGGGGCTCGATCCCAGGACCCTGAGATCATGATCTGAGCCGAAGGCAGAGGCTCAACGCACTGAGCCATCCAGGTGCCCCCAAATCAGCTCTTTTAAAAGGCAGACTTGTATTTCAAAAGAAAATTCTGTGCATAATTCAAATTCCTTTCAACATACTATGAACCTATATACTCGGGCTTTAATGCTTTAATCTGGAACACTACAATTATGAAACAAACTCCATACACCTGAAAGGGACAGATCATTATCTCACAGAGAAACCATATTAAGTGCTTCATTATGGAACCAAGATAAACATTTCAAAGGATGTGAATCTAATGGCTGTCCACCTGAGACTCACCTTGGTCTCTCTGGAGAAGGGTTGGGGCTGCGGGGAGGAGGTGTGCGTGGCACAGCTGGCTTTGGTGCGATGCTGGCTGCAGGTAGAAAGCCATGGATGATGTGTTTCTGCACAAATGAAACCCAGCAGTGTCACTGGTGTATGGGATTACCTGGGTCCTGTTGACACCCCGCCTGGGGCCTGAAAGGGGACACCTGCACTGGCCACCCAGGGATCTAACCCCACCAGGAACCCAGTCCTCCCCCTGCCTAACCCAATTCCCATATGGCCAGGAAAGGATGCTCACCCAGGGGAACACCACTGCATCTGGCCATTGTGGGGAACCTCTAGTCCTTCCTCCTCAGAGGAACCTGACCATCCCCCAGAGTCACCCTCTAGGACCTCCAGCCTCACAGCATGACCTCCAATAACCCTACTCTCTCACTTGCTGCCCCACCTGCAGAATGGAAGCTTCTGGAGAGCAGGCAATGTTCTTGTCTTTATCAACCCTGGAACTCAAGAACTTCCCCCCATTAGTCTACACCATGTGGAAGCTTAATAAATATTTTAGACAGTTTACCTCAAAGATGCAGAAGAGCGAAAACTAGCTCCTACACACAATGAAAATCAGAGAATCTGGTTTTAGGCACCTGGGAGTCATTCAGAAGTTTCTGAGTATAGCCCAACCTTCACTCTCTAAGTACTAGTCAATATTCACACCTACTAAAGGCAAAACACCTAGATTGCAATGAAGAAAATTTGTCTTCATCGACAAGGTAATAAGAGTACGGAGGGAAAAGCACCCAATTTGTCTTCATCGACAAGGTAATAAGAGTACGGAGGGAAAAAAATCATGTAACACGAATTATAGAAAGTGCCAAGGGAAAGGTAAAGACAAATTTGGTGCTGGGATGGCACAGGGAAGGAAGAGCTCCTCCCGGTCTGGCGGCCAGCAAGGGGACCTCTAATGTCCCGCTGAAGAAAAATCACAGAGGCATTTAGACTGGGTCATCAAAGATGGCCACGGCTCTCCCATGTGGGAAATGAGATGGAAAAGCATTCTAGGAAGAAGGAACAGCATGAACAACGAAAGAAACAAGACACCGGCGGCAATGTTCTAGAAATAACAAGTATTCCTCTGAGGAGAGCCTGGAAGAATGCGCTGGAGGTAAGAGTGGTGATTGTTCCCATTTAAGAGTTTTTATACGTGACTAAGGAGAACCTGTGTCTCAGTGAGGAACACCCACCGAAACTGACCCCTGGAAAGGCTCCTCAGGCAGTGAAAAGCATGAAATTGGGAGTAGGCGCCTACAGTGACACAGTGGCCATGGTAAGGTTTGGAGAGCAGCATTCCAGGCAGAAGGAACCGCAAAGGCCTGAACGAAAAGAAGAAATGGCTGGGGGTAGGGAGGGAGAGGGGGTAGAGAGAGAGTGAGAGAGAGAGTTGGAGGCACTGGGTTTTAAGGAGCGCAGCAGCAAGGACAGATGTCCGTTTTATTAGAACCCCCCCGGCTTCCACGTGGAAGACGGGCCCAGGGCAAGACTGGAAGCAGAGAAACATCGAGGAGCTGCAGCAGCAGCCAGACAGATGCCAGGAAGATGCTGGAAGCCAGGGTGGAGGCGGGAACAGCTGCAGGTTATAGGTGGCGGGAAGAATCTATGGAACTTGGTTGATGGGGTTACGCGGTGGGTAGCGGAGGGAGGACTCCAGAACGACTTCCCACTGGGGCATATTCAGCGGTGGAGTAGGATTGTGCTGGCAGGACTGCTCCCCGACACCTGCGGAAACGCGGCAGGGGAGACAGGGCGCCTCCGTCTGACCGAGCCCCACCCTGGGATAGAGGATGCTTTAGAACACAAAATATCAGGGCCTCTCGAGTGGGAAACAACGTCATTTTGCGCTGCTACCTGGCCTCAACCGCAGGCCAAATCCCAACCCATTCCCGTTTAACTCCTGGCCCCCGGGATCTACTTACAAACTGGCTCTTGCGGCCCCTGCGAAACCCCTGGAGCATCCTTGGTGCGGGGAGTGGCCGGACCAGGGCTGGACGGACGCGCAGATTCCCTAACAAGCGAGGACCGCTCCGTGGAACCTGAGCTCCTCCCGCTGGCTAAGCCCGAGACGCTTTTTCTACGCAATGCACTTCGCAACAACCTCGTCTTCCATTGGCTCTCCTTTCTCCTCGTCCAGTCAGAGCCAAGGTTACTCCTCCCCGTAGCTCTTGGCAACCAGCTGTTCGCATTCAAATTCTCCGGGGCGGAAACAGTGCGTGGTCCGTCCTCTTATTGGCCAGATCAGGTGTCGATCTCTAACACCATAGCCTATCCGGCGCCGTGGGAGGTGGAGGGCGGGCAGGATGAAAAATTGGCGAGCGCCCTGGAGGGAAACCGGAAGTGGCGCGCCTCGGGTGAAAGCTGAGGGTCTCCTGGCTGAGGGTGCCAGCAGCGGTTGCGCAGACCGAGAGAGGGGTGCCAGGAGCCAGCAGGTGACGAAAATGAGGCACGCGGCTACCAGGACGGGAATCTCCTGGGTCTTAGACTTTGGCAAATAATTTGGTCTTTTAAAGACCTTGGAAGCGGGCTCCTGCCGGAGGGGCCCCGGCTGCGAGGGGGCCGTGGGGCCGTGTGCGGGAGAGCCTGCTCAAATGCCGTCTTCTGTTTTCCTTATTAGGTCGAGTCCGCCGATGGCCAGGAACCCTCCTGAGGGCACAGGCCCCATGCACGTGCCTTTTGGGCATGTTGTGGCCAACGAGAAGTGGCGCGGGTCGCAGCTCGCGCAGGGGATGCAAGGTTGGTGGGCTGCCTGTGCATAAGCCCTCTCCTAAACTTTTTCAAAACGTGCTACCTACCGTCCTCACGGAACTCCTTTTTCTTGTCTGTGTTCTAAGGGAAAATTAAAATCGTGTTTGAGGATGGCCTGGCACCGGTAGATTTTTACTTGTCAAGCAGATCTTGCATTCTTTATGTCACCGAAGCTGATTTGGTGGCAGGAAATGGCTACAGGAAGAGGCTTGTTCGGGTTAGAAATGTAAGTACTGAATTGAAGACACCGAAACGTAAAATTGACTTCCATCCGCCCCCTCCTCCATCCTTTGGAATGATTTATATACAACCATTGGCCGTTCGAAGCACTCTTGGACGGAGAGCTTTCTTACACTGGAGGTAGTTTTGTTACAAAATGGTTTACTGTTTCGGCTTTTTCCTTCCTTTTAAAGTCCAGTAATCTTCAAGGGATTGTAATAGTTGAGAAAACGCAGATGAGTGAACAATACTTTTCGGCCATACAGAAGTTTACCGTGCTGGACCTTGGGATGGTGTTGCTTCCAGTGGCCAGCCCAATGGAAGCATCCTGCCTTATCACCCAGTTGGTAAGTACTGATTCCTACTCCTCTGCAGGAGTCCTGCCTTACAGACTCTCACCTGAGCTTTCTGGATCTATCACTCCAGCTGTTGCCCTTGCTGTGGGTGCAATCCATCAGTCCTGTCTACAGTAGTCCTCACTTACCTGTGGTCAGCTGCGGTCCAAAGCAGATGATCCTTTATTTAGTTATGTACTTATTCATGTATGAGAGAGTGCACAAGCGGGCAGAGGGGCAGAGAGAGAGAGAGAGAGAGAGAGAGAAACAGCCTCAGGGCTGAGCAGGGAGCCCAATTTGGGGCTCTATCCCAGGACCCTGAGATCATGACCTGAGCCGAAGGCAGACAACCAGCTGAGCCACCCAGGTGCCCCACAGATGATCCTTTTTTAGAAAACAAAAAACCTGATTCTCCAATCAGTCTTCACTTACTATTCATCTTGATTGTGCTTGAGAATTTCCTGAGGAACTTTTAAGAACAATGATACATGAGCCTTACCTCAGGCCAATTAAAAATCAGAATGTCAGGATAGGGCCTTAAGCATTAATTTGTGTTGTACTGTGGATTTTAAATTTCCCTTTTGATGTGTAACTAGGATTGAGAACCACCCCGTGTCGTTCATAGGTCACTCTCTCCCTTCTCCACCTTATGCCTTGCTTGTCTGGTCCTAACTTCTCCTGATGTAATGCTATCGACTGCCTTCCTGTATGCACCACTAACTGAAAACTGGGTTTCTCCTTTTACAGGCAAGCTCTCTCCAGGTCCTGTACCAAGCAGGTCCAGTTTAGTTTTAATTTAATCCCACACTGGGTGCCTGGGTGGCTCAGTCAGTTAAGCATCTGCCTTCCACTCAGGTCATGATCCCAGGGTCCTGGGATCAAGTCCTGCATCGGGCTCCCTGCTCAGCGGGGAGTCTGCTTCTCCCTCTGCCCCTCTCGGCTACTTGTGCACACGTGCGTGGTCACTCTGTCTCACTCTCAAAAAAAAAAAAAAAAAATCTTAAAAAAAAATTTAATCCCATACAACTGAATCATTTTTTGGGCCACAGGAACATGTTTGAATTCCTCAGAGTATGTTTGCATTGCTTTACCCTAAGCATTCTGAAAACCCAAGTTTTAATCAGATTTTCTCTTAGTCCTTTGTGTACTCATATGGTTCCTCTTTCAATAATTTTGCTGTTGTGTGAAAAATTATATTCATGGTGGGCGCCTGGGTGGCTCAGTGGGTTAAGCCTGTGCCTTCGGCTCGGGTCATGATCTCAGGGTCCTGGGATCCAGCCCCACATGGGGCTCTCTGCTCAGCGGGGAGCCTGCTCCCCTCTCTCCCCACCCCCTGCCTCTGTCTCTCTGCCTACTTGTGATCTCCTCTCTCTCTCTCTCTATCAAAATAAATAAATAAATATTTTAAAAAAATTTTAAAAAAATTATATTCATGGTATATTGAAAACATTTGTAGTGGGTAAGTGAAGCTGGACCAAATGGAAAAAGAAAACTAAATTTCTGTAAATTTTTAAGAGAACTGCCAGTCCTCTAGGGGGCGCTCACGTGCTTTCCCTTTACTATTGGTTTAGGTTCAAGAACAAACCAAAGAGCCCAGTAAGAACCCTTTCCTCAGTAAGAAACGGGGTCAGATCCCTGAGCTATCCCTCCTTCGAACTGTGCAACAGATCCCAGGAGTTGGAAAAGTTAAAGCCCCCCTTCTGCTTCAGAAGTTCCCAAGTATCCAACAGCTAAGTAATGCTTCCGTCCGAGAACTGGAGCCAGTCGTGGGACAAGCAGCAGCACAGCACATTCAGGCCTTCTTCACACAGCCCAGCTGATGACTCTTCTCACAGCTTGGACCGCAAACTACTGGATCGTGTTCAGTTTTCATATTTAAAATTGGAGAACAAAGACCTTCCTTTCACAGCACGTAATGAGTGACTGGGGTGAGGCGTGCACGGAAGCTGCCAGTTACCCTGTCTTGCTCTCTGGGTATGGGCGTTTAAGTTAGTGGGCTCCAGATAGCACGGCCCTCGCGCTGCTAGTGGAAGAGGAGGCGTGGAGGGCACGCCTGGTCGGCTCAGTCAGTTGAGCATGTGACTCTTGATCTTGGGGTTGTGAGTGAGCCCCACCTTGGGGGTACCAATTACTTAAAAAAAACACAATCTTAAAAAAAACCAAAACAGACACACACACACAAAAACAGGGACCCCTGGGTGATGCAATTGGTTGAGAGTCCAATTCTTGGTTTTGACTCAGCTCATGATCTCACAGTTGTGAGCTTGAGCCCCTCACTGGGCTCCGTGTTCAGCATGGAGTCTGCTTGGGATTCTCCCTCTCCCTTTCTCTCAAAATAGATAAATAAATCTAAAAAAACAAAGTCTTCAAAAGAGAGAGAGAATGAGCCCATGGGGATCTTCCTGAGAGAGTTTACTAATGGACTCTCAAGTTCAGCAAAAAGCTGGCCTGGGCAGATTGACCAGTGTCTATCATGGAAAGGTCTAATCAGATCAGGAGGTAGATGTGACCTTCTAAAGGAACCAGACCTACAATGAAGCGCTGTGCTGTGTACCATAAACCCCTTGTTCCTGGTGGCAGAGCCAGTGTTCTTCCAACGTGGTCTTAATATCGCTTGCTGTTTTAAGGGTGTTGCCAGTGTAAATAAACAATTGTACTGCCTTTTTTTCTTCCTCCCTCCCTCCCTTCCTGGTAGCTGCACAGTTTGTTCTTAGTCACTGAGCATGCCTTCTGAACACAGCCTGGAGTTTGGAGTTCCCTTTTAAAGGTAAAAAGCCAGGGTAGACGCAGGAGGAAAAGAATGTGTTTGGCAGTGTACAGCCCAACAGGAGGCAGATCTGTAAGAAAATGGCAGGGCAGACGCATCCACAGAGAGCCCGGGGTGGGGATGAAAGGTACAATTGGCTGCTCCAAAAAGACACGCACTTAGCCACTCTGAGAAGCAGAGTGGAGGTTCCTCAACAAGTTGAAAATAGAGCTACCCAGCAGTTGCACTACTGGGCATTTACCCCAAAGATACAAACATAGTGATCCGAAGGGGCACCTGCACCCCAATGTTTATAGCAGCAATGTCCACAATCACCAAACTATGGAAAGACCCCAGATGTCTATCGACAGATGAATGGATAAAGAAGAGGAGGTATATATACATAATGGACTACTACTCAGCTGTTAAAAAAATGAAATCTTGCCATTTACAACAACATGGTTAGAACTTGAGTATTATGCTAAGTGAAATAATCAGAGAAAGAATTATATGATCTCATTAGTGTGTGGAATTTAAGAAACAAAACGGGATCACAGGGGAAGAGGAAAAAAAAATCAAATAGGGAGACAAACCATAACAGACTCTTAATCATAGGAAACAGGGTTGCTGGAGGAGAGGGGGTGGAGGGATGGGGTAACTGGGTGATAGACACCAAGGGCATGTGATGTAATGAGCACTGGGTATCATATAAGACTGATGAATCCCTGACCTTTACCTCTGAAACTAATACATTACATGTTAATTAACTGAATTTAAATTAAAAACATAAATGCACTTAAAGATGCCACATTTTCAAAGATACTAAGATAACTTAAAACTTCTGTAAGTCCTGGTTTGTGAAACGTTAGTCATAAAAACCAAAGCATAAGAACATCTTGTGCATTACGGTAGA